TTATTTTTTGTCCAGATTGTTCCACAAACTGATTCCTTTCACAGAAACACAACGTTCCGTCACTTTTGCTGTGAATCTGGGTTTATATCTTATCTACATGTGGTGTTACGTCCACTCGGGTGATTTTCAGACGCGCTCGTACATGTTTCATCAATATTTAACGCGTGGAAAATGTCCTCCGTTCATTTCATAACTGCAAACCGGATACAGCGGTGAGCAGTGTGGGTTACCGGCGGCTCGGGCGCGCACGTGATCATGATTGTGTTTCTCCCTCGTTGTGTTTCGTCCGTGTCAACGCGCCTCGGAGCAAACCGATCCAGGCAGCGGACGCCGCGCCGTCCTGGAAGTCTGTCACCTGCAGGTGTCAAATGCAGAGCCGAGACAGCAGGCCCGAGCGACCCCGAGGACGCGACTCTTGTACGGCGCTGCCCCCTTTCACGCCTCCCGTGTGGAGCAGTTGTTTACCTCCGGCTCAGGTTACACTTGCGGTTGTGCCTCGGTGAGTCTTGTGAAACCAAAGAGATGACCTGGAATTCTATCCTTTGACCCCTGAGTGAAGGAGGCTGCACTCACACGATTGGTTTCCTTCTTTCTTTCTTTCTTTCTTTCTTAGATAATCACGTCTGTTAGAATGAACTGTGCTGCAACCAACGATTCATCTTTAAAACATGAACTGAAGATCTCACATCATGTAAAACAATCAGTGAATTCTCAAACCAAAGTCCATCAAATATTCTTTCTTTCTTTCTTTCTTTCTTTCTTTCTTTCTTTCTTTCTTTCTTTCTTTCTCACATTGTCAGTAGACTTTAACACAGTTTTTCCTAATAAAAATAACAATGTAATAGAGTAATTCAACATCAAAAGTGCTTCAGTAACTTTCGAGTAAAACCTCCGATTCCGAGGCTAAAGCGTCGCTGCGCTTCGCTCTCGCTATCATATTCCAGATCGCACTCCTCAAACTGGATTTACCACCTCGGCCTGACCTTGAGTGGTGGGAATGCGAGCCAGAGTTGACACAAGGAAAACAGATCATTGAGAAACACGGCAGCCTCTGAGCAGAAGGGTTATTACAGCGTGTTTGCTGCTAAAGCTCCCAGCGAGCCAACGGCAGCAGCAGCAGATAACAGAGCAACAGGTTTCTGAATTCTTACGGCGGCGGCAGTAAAAGTGGCAGTAATGACACCTTTCAGTTACCTCACAGAGGAATAAAAATAGATGCACCGTGTACAGAGCGAACAGGACAAAAAGTCAAAGACCTCAGCGACCTCGCTGCCAAGAAGCTGATGCAACGCCGAGTCGGTTATTTAGCAGAAATGCAATTTATTTAAATGTGAGATTCGATTTAGGCTGCAGGTCAGTCTCAGACCAAACATTAATCAGTGGGCCACGCCTTCTCGTCCACAAAGTTGGACGGTGGCCTGGAGCCGAATTCTTTTGGTCAAGTTTGGTTTCGTTGCTCGCCGAGATCCGATTCATCAGAGCGCTGTGAGTTCCCTGGATCTGGTGGACCTTGTTTTCTGCCGAGAAGCAAATCACGCTGACATGATTATTATTTTGGCTTTCAGAAACCCGTCGCCTCGCTGCAGAAGAACTTCCTGAGTGGAACGCTGACGTGAAAGGCGAGAAGAAAAATACAGAAACTGTGCAGAGCACTGAGTGTGAGGCTCAGCATTTTGTGCTTTTTCACTTTCATGCAGACAGATGAGAGGAGTGACATCACTTTAGAATATGGATCTGAAAACAGCAGCTTAGCGTAGCTTAGCATTAAGAAAGGAATCAGGGGAAGCAGCTCTGTCCAATATAACAAAAAAACCAGACCAGAAGCTTATTAATAATCATGCTTCATCTCATTTCAGAGTACGTGTTAACCATGAGCTTTTGGACAAAGCCAGGTTTGCTGTTTCCAGGCGTTATGCTAAGCTAAGCTAAAAGGCTAGTGGCTCCTGCTATAATTTCCAGCATGCCAATCTATCTTCCAACTCAATTTGTTATTAAAACAGTTTCGAATTTATTTCTCTGGTTTTTGCATGTCTCTTCTTCACAGTACTTTTTATTTCCACATACTTTTTAAAAAAACATCTAATGTATATATATTTTTTGATTTCTATATTTATTGCCTGTCTTCTTCTTGTTGTGTACCACAGTTTCATTCACATTCGAATTGCGTGTGCGAGCTCACTTGGCAATTAAAGCTTTCTGCATTCTGTATATGTACTTCTATGGAGATCTCCCACTGGCAGGTGCAAACTGCTTTTCAAGTGTCCACTGGGTAAATAATAAAACTACTACAGCTTACATGTTCAAACTAAGCTGTAAACTCATTTTAAAGCTCTCGGCAGCTGATGATACCGTCGTACATCTCCAGAGGTTGTACAGTTACGGATCAAACAAAAAGACACGACATGTTTGTTTTCAGTCCTCATGCTAATCAGCTGCTGGCTATAGCTTCAGATTCACTGCACAGACATGAGAGTTGAGCAGCTTCTATTTTGTTTTGTGGCTCATTTGTACTCACTGTGGACTCATTGTTTCACAGCAGCGTGAAGTCCTGCGCCTCTATGGAAACGACACGACGACCGCTAGAAGCAGCGAGAACTCAGAAATATCTTCAGTGCAGCATGACACAATTAAAATGCAAAAAATCTTTTAAAAAAATACAATTAAACAAAAACAAGAAACAATGAAAGTTGAATTTGAAGAAAAGAAAAAGTCCCAACAACACACGGTGTCACTGCACGCTACAGATGTTTCACTGTTTACATTTGTTGTTCCCGAGCTTATCTCTTATCTGCTCTGTGTCGACACATTTCACCTGAAAAGCCTCAGAATCTCGGTCGTATGACTGCAGCTGATTGTGCTGAGCAGGAAAATCTTTTGGTTTTTACAGAACATGGTTCCTGCAGGACACATTTTTAATAATATAAAATATACAATATTGTGATTTTGATGAAATGTCACCATCAGAAGCTTTGATTTGGCTGGATCACAATCAGTGATGGATCCAACATCCATCCATCATCTCTACACCTTAATCCTCACTAGGGTCATGGGGGGCTGGAGTCTATCCCAGCCGACTCAGGGTGAAGGCAGGTTCACCTGGACAGGTAACCAGTCTATCACAGGGCTACACTTAGAGACAGACAACCAAGCACACTCACATTCACACCTACGGACAATTTACAATCACCAATTAACCTCAGCATGTTTCTGGACTGTGGGAGGAAGCCGGAGAACCCGGAGAGAACCCACGCTGCACGGGGAGAACATGGAGACTCCACGCAGAAAGATCCCGGGTGTCCTCACCTCACCTCACACGAACCGGTGACCTTCTAGCTGTGAGGCAACGATGCTAACCACCGATCTATCTGCAGCCCTGGATCAAACATGTCACGGAAAAAAGGTTCTGATTACCGGTGTGATTTCTCTACAAAGACAAGATGCCTCTTAAACCCACGGGCCGGTTCTGAGGTTCAGAGGGTTTAATCCTCTCGTCTCATCTTTCCCGAAATATCCAACTACGGCTTTAAAACACAATGACGCATTCAAAAGTCCAGATGAATATATTTAGATGTGAAGCAAAACACCAGAGTGCATCTGCCTTTACAACAATATCAACCTAATATTTTATTGATGAATCGAGTCGACGGCGTCTGTTTCCCCACAACAAGTCGACCAGGAAACACAACAGCGTGGATGCAGGAATCTGAGCACTAAAAACATCAAAAGCTTTCAGCGCAATAAGGATGATTAAAAGCACAACATCTGCTCTGAGTGAGTGACACTCCCTTTTTTTCTTTCCGTGTTGCACCAGCATTCCTGAAACCAACAACACATATATTTTAGTTGTCTGACGTGAATCTGCCTCTCGGCCCTGCAGAGAGGAGCAGACGGTTGTTTTTTGGGGGGGATCATATTTTCCGAACGTTTCAAATACCCATCTGTCCGAAGTGAACAAGGGTTACGCATTAACCTGGTTTTCAAATACCTCCACCATGCTGTTTGGCTCCTCACCTGTTTTCAGAGGGCAGATGTTTTGCTTTTACAATGTGCAATAAATCAATAGTTGTTGGGGAGATGGAGGAGATTCAAAACACTCGTATTCCAAGCGTGCTTTAGGAAAAACAGCGTTCACATGGAGCAGCAAGGAGCCAGCAACCTCAAAGTGTGGAGCTCTTCGCTTGCTGGATTTCTGCTTTTTTTTTTTTTTTAAAGTAATAATTTCAGCCCCATCCCACCAGAAACAGGTTGTTTAGCAGATTACACAGCGATGGGTAACCACAGAGACAGCACTAATGACACGATGCTCTGGTCCACCATTAACACGCTGCTGGAGACGTCGTCCAGCCACCTGACGTCTTTAACCTCGACCACGCAGCGCTGACGGTGTCTCTGTGGCAGGAACATGCAGGGATTTGCTTTTCCTTCTGGTTCCACAGAAAGCTAGAAGAGAGGAGGGGGCCCGCAAGCAGAAAGGTCAGACGTGTTTGTCCCTCAGAGGAAGCGTAGGAGGAACAATGACTGAGGCTGATTCAATTGTGAATCAATTCAATTCGAAGCATTTCAGAAGAAAAGCTGATTATTACTCGGTGATCACAGCGATCGTAGTTTCCTCCTCATCGTGGTCTGTAGGGATCTTATTTAATATGTGAGCATGATTTTGAGGAAAAAAAAAAAGGGTAGTTTATGACCTCATGGTGAATGATTTATTCAGTTCAATGAAACTAGAAGCACAGGAAGGAAGAGAAGCTCATTTTATTCATACATTTATTCATTTTGGTCTGAAGAAGCAAAGAGAATATTTGCCTCTTTCGGTTTATTCCTTAGCTTCAAAACAAAGTCAAACAAACTGTCTGTGTGTAAACTGCTCCATCTCTCTCTTGGGCTGCACGGTGGATCAGTGGTTAGCACCGTGGCCTCACAGCTAGAAGGTCGCCGGTTGGCGTCCTGGTGAGGACACCCGGGATCTTTCTGCGTAGAGTCTCCATGTTCTACCCGTGCAGCATGGGTTCTCTCCGGGTTCTCCGGCTTCCTCCCACAGTCCAGAAACATGTTGAGGTTAATTGGTGATTGTAAATTGTCCGTAGGTGTGAATGTGAGTGTGCTTGGTTGTCTGTCTCTAAGTGTAGCCCTGTGATAGACTGGTTACCTGTCCAGGTGAACCTGCCTTCACCCTGAGTCAGCTGGGATAGAATCCAGCCCCCCATGACCCTAATGAGGATGGGGAGAACATGGAGACTCCACACAGAAAGATCCCGGGTGTCCTCACCAGGATGCCAACCGGCGACCTTCTAGCTGTGAGGCAACGGTGCTAACCACTGATCCATCGTGCAGCCCCTGGAAGCTCCAGTAAAGCAAAAATGTCAAAAGAATAGAAGCGTGAAGCCATGAAGTGACGGCTCTGGGCGCCTCAGAACAGCTTCCATCGTTTTATCATGTTTTTTATGTCGCTGAGTGAAATGCGATGTATTGCTTCTGAGATATTGTTCAGAGGCTGGTGCAGCTGGTCCTCCAGATGAGCAGGAACATAGATCTTTAAATATTAGTTCTCTTTAGAGCTCCTGTTGTACGTCTTCAGTTGCGTTCTCTTGCTGCCGTCCAGCTTGTCAGCCATGCAGCTGTGATTTCTTTTATTTTCACTGACCATGGGATGAGCTGAACTTCCGGCCTTATGACTTATGTAATTCAAACGTCACAGCCAGATTAGCAGCTAATCAGCGTGTCGGTCATATGACAGCGTCCTCAGTGTTCGCAGCTGGCGTTCAGTCCAACTAACAACATTAGCTCCTTGTTCTCTTTCAGTTTATCTTTCATCTTTAAAGAGGCAATTTAGCGGCTTCTCTGACTGCTTCATGAGATAAAAAAATCAACAAAAGCAACATCTTTAAGGCGAGTTTGTCAAATTGACGCCATCTCAAACAAACAGGAGCTCATTTCCCATCAGCTGAACTGCTCAGACGAACAGCGAGGACATCTCAGGGAGTATCGTCCCTCCTGCGAGAAGCATCAGGAGGTGATTAAACTCTGTGGGAGATTGTTGGAGTTTCCTCACTCTGGATCATATTGAATTATTTAAGATTTACTCTTGATTATATAGCAATCCAATACAGCTTCACTGGATTTGACTCTATTACCATCTAATACACAAGCTCATGTGGAAAAGGTTCTACTTGAATGAGTGACGGTAATATTTGATACTGACGTTGAAAATGAGGAAAAGTACATATCTGAATATATGTTTATATTGAGGGGATTATATTCTGAAACCTACATGCGTCACCGTAGCGACAGAGACGTAGCAACGCTACAGCGGCTAGGAGGGCGGCAGAAAAGAAAGCGTCCAAGAAAAGTTTCTGATGCTCAAAATAAATAAAACAACTCCAACCGCTCCGAGGAAGGATTACAGTAAAAAAAAAAAAAAACAACGGAAAACGGTTGATCCACAAGCCAGTGTTTGTGTAATTACTCTCACTGCCAGAAGGGGGAGACAAGCGTTTAGCACTGCAGGTTTAAATGTTTTTGCCTTTTTAGTCACATCATGTGAAATATGTTTTGTAAAAGTTGTGCTAAACAAGTGCACAAGCGTGTCATACAGTCTGACTCACACATTATCTTCGGTTCTTAAGATGCTCTCGACAACAATCGCTGCCTTCAGTCGCATTTTTAGCTCATGCGCAAGAATTTCAAAGCGAGCAATAAATCTTCACTTTCAGCTATTTTCCAACATCCTCAATCAGCGATTCACCTCCACAGTTTACTAAAGTACCAGCAGGCGGTCTTTACGGCTTCATCCAGAGGCGCTTTTTATATTCCAGTGACATTCGCACAGCTTTGTTTTCCGTTGTGTTTTCACAGCAGTCTCTGGGAAGAAGAGGACGAACCAGACAGGTTCTCGCCGTGTCGACGGGGGCACAACAGTGGACTGTTGGGGAAACAGAGCGAAGGGAAACATGGGATTGCAAAGAGAGGAGTGTTGTTTAAACAGTGGTCATGATAGTAGGTGAGATTCTGCTTTATTAAAACAGTGATTATCATCTCAGGCTGAGGACGGTGATGTGCAGCTCATTGATCAGACGTCTGTCTTTCCCTGTTGCTTCAGATGAGAGCGGTGTAAAGAACGGGGAGTGTTTTAAAATATTAGAGCAACAAGTGACAAATAATCAACATTTCATGGCTGCAAATTCTTCAACAGGAGACTATTTCAGAGCCGCCCGGTGCAACGACCGTCTGCTCCTGTTGTCCTCATCGCTCCTCGTTCATTTCCCGCGTCCAAATTTTCCCCAGCCACTCCAACGTCAAGGTGAGTTTTCAGAGCTTGAACCACCGGAGAGGCAGCCGGGATCACACCAATAACTTCACACACAAACACACTCCACCTCTTGTTTCTGTGCAGCCCTTCCCCCCGCCGCCGTCCTCCTCCTCCTCCTCCTCCTCCTCCTCCTCCCCGAGGCTTTGCTGTAAAACAACAGGGGAATCCGCCATAGTGACACCACGTACCCTGGTACTTTTCCACAGATAACATGCGGCGAGAGGCTGAGTGTTGCAATGTGGTGTTTATATTGACTTTATGCATTTATTGCCTCGCAGTCCATACAGCCAAGGTAGACAACGCTTAATTCCTCCTTCTCCCCTCAGTCGGGCCGGTTTGTTCTCTTCCTGCACATGAACTGGCTGCAGATCAACGTCTGAAGTTTTCCACCCTCTGGATGCTCAGAATAATAAGGAAATAATAGCGCGCAATAAAGCAGATGAGATGAAAGATTCACAGATAAAAGCACAAGAAGACAATTGAATTTAAAGAAAAGCTTGATATGGTTTGGTTGCTGCTCTCAGAGGAGCCTCACAATCTGCTTCTGTCTTGATTAAACTCCAGCTGAGGAGAGTGTGTCGTCCACTTAAGTCCGCAGACACACAGAGACACGTCGTTGAACTTAATGTACAAAAGAGTAAAGGTCATCTTCTGCATGTACAATCCATTTAACCACTTATAACTGGAGATGCATTTTTGGTTTGGTTGCAACAAAGCCACCATTCATGTGTCGCCCTCTGAGCATTTTATTCTGGGCCGGACCACGAGGACGTGAGCTCAGATGACCTGAATCCAATGAGATGATCCAAATAATGTGATTTATAGTTTTGGTCGGTGCAAAAAATTCTCTTCCTTTCGCTTTGGCAGACGTTCCCAGGGACTCAGTGTGCGGCGTTGTCTCGAAGTGAGGTTTTGATGTGAAGCGTTCGTTACGGTTAATTAAGCCGGGTGATGTAACGTACGCTGTTTTCGCTGTTTGGTTAATTTGTTACTGATCCGGTGCCCAGTTGAACGAGGGAGGAAGAGGAATGCTCCGAATTCCTCTAAGAATTCTCGGTGCACCTGCGACAACAACAAAGGAGTGAAAAAAGACTGTAAAGGAGGAACGCTGAGACTCTGTAAAGCCGTGAATAACAACAAGAGGGAACTTAGTCGACGGACCGATGTGACGCTCGGCAGAAATGCGTCCTGGTGCTGAGCCACGCGGTGCAAACCACAGAAATGAGAGTCATGTAGAGCGGGGTTAGCGTTTGATGATATATGTCTTAATTCTGAAATGAAAGGTATCTTTATCCCAAATTCGCCACATGACAAAACGTGCAGATCGACTGTTTCTTAAATGCTGAGAGATTATCTGAACCACGTTTGACCCTCACTCGGTCAAACCAGTTTGATGTCAGAAAACTGAATTCATACTCATCAAAAACGTTCCCTTTTCTTTAGTTTCTAAGTTTGACCCACTTTCATAAGCACTAGAAATCTCCATCAACTAACCAATTAATCATCTAATAGCTTCAGCTCTGTGGTGTTGATTTAGTTTCTATCGGCCGCTTAAAGAGACTCGGCACGGTGGTGGTGAAATGTCACACAAGCTGTAACTTCCCCATTATTGGCAGTTTGACACAGTATACGTTGTGCGTCAGGGTCGCTGGAAGTTCAGCGATTATTATGCATACCACCTGCAGTTTAAATATGTTCCTCTGAGTAAGTCCCATGCAGGCTGCATGAAAGCGGTTCAAAGTTCAGCATGTTTGTGTCACATGGACCATATTCAGTTTTTCATGGCTCCGTATGAAGCTGCTGAGGAGCAAAACTGAACTTTGTGCTGTCAACAAATCCTGCACATTTTCATCCACACATTCTGTCACGTTTTGCGCCTTTCTGTGGGAGTTTTGCGGCGTGCGAAGCGAGTTTCACTTCTCTCGCTGTTCCCCCAAATTCAAGTGGTTCAGCGCACTTCAATCTTTCAACCCCCTTCAGGCAAAACTGGGCCAGTTTCAGAGTCATATTTTACTGACATGACCTTTGATCCCTGTCAGACAACCATGTGCCTGGATCATGTTTTGGGACAGGCACGTAGATATCCGTCTGCGTCTAGGTCCCGGGTCAGGGGAGTTCATGAGCAGCGGGGGGGTGGGGGAGTACTTGTTACCACACAGTGCAGCCTCTTTAACCAGCCGAGCAGGAAAGAAGAAGAACGGCAGCAAATTTGTTCCAGCGCTGGCCGGCCCAAGTGTTGTTTTCATGACATGCATGACATTCTTTGGATGGGCCTGGAAGAGAACGAGAGAGCAGCTCTGTTCGATGAAGGAAAACGGGCACAAGTAAACAGATAAACACACGTAAATCATGTTTCTGCTGCTTTTTTTTGGTTGTTTTTGTTTTTCTTCAAAGGGCAACGTCGCCACTTTCACTGGTGTCAGTTTACTCGTCTGTGAAGCGTCTTCTGTGGCTCAAAGCAGCCTGGTGTTGTCATCAGAGGAGGCTCGAAGGAGGCACATTTAGAAAGCTTGTGTTACAAACTAAACTTTGTGGGATGTGAGAATTGACCATGAGGAAGCTACAGTCAAGCTGCATCATGGGAAATGTAGGTCGGCGCAGTATTTTTGGAACCTGACCGAAGAGAGATTTACGCACAGCCGGTATCCACCTTTTCAAAAATAACATCATTCACACTAGATTGTTTTCAAAAAAGTCTTTGTTAACACAAACCCACATAAACACGTTGTTAAGAGCTGCTATGAGCTGCCAGACCTATAGGGAGCAGTGTAATGCTAGCCAATCAGAATCCTGGAAAAAACAACGAAAACTTCCTGTTACTTCAACGATAGTGGTGTGAGGGTCGTTTGTTTGGACCGACAGAGAAGTGGAGCTGCTCCTACATGTGGTGTTAGAGACACAACAAGGAAAATATTGACTGTAAACACGTCCGTCCAAGTATATGGACGCAGTCAGACTGTAAACATGGTCGCACGCTGTGACATCAAACTCCGTCTCCTCCTGTCTTCATGCAAACGCAAAAATGGAGTTTTTCTAAATCTCCTCTTTGGCTGGAGTTTTCAGATCTGATCATTTTCGATGACTCGTAGCTTTGTTTACGTGGAAACCAAAGGCCCGTTGAGATATCACCGTTTTAGCTGTGTATAAATGGAACCTAAAACTCGATGCATCTCAACGCATTCTGCTTTGATTTTCACCGCTCTTGCTTTCCTGCATTGCAGCAGTCCACATGAAGAGTTCATTTGCAAAATCAGATAACTCCATTTTTGTAGATTTTCAGAAAACTTATTTTTTTGTTGTATGCTTGAGATAAAATCAGTCAAACTGAAGCTGAGTGGATGTGACCCAGTAGAAACGACAACAACAGAGAGAACGGAAGTTTGACTGATGTTGTCTCAGGTAGACGATGGAAAACATTTGTGAAGATGGAGTTATCTGTTTTTGCAAATGAACTTTTCACATAAATAAAGCACCTTTAAAATTAAACTTTCACTCCATTTTTTTGGTTTACCTGCAATATTTCTTTTGGCTTCAGCAGACGTGACGATTTGTGTCCTCAGTGCAACAAAAATCAGATTCCCTTCAAGAAAAATAATAATGATCATCTAAAAACCCTGACTGTCTTTATCCTGGAAAACAAACCAAAAAAACTCCACGTTTGAGCGATTAGCTTCTTGCACAGATATCTACCAATATTTTTGTTTTGCATCTTCTCGAGCTTATCTTCTGTTGTCGCTGCAGTGAAACCGTCCCGTGGATGTGAAGTTAAAGATGCCGCGTTGATATAAGCGAGGGAAAGGCTGACTCACCGAATCTACACATCCTCTCGCCTGCGAACAAACAACCAAACGTTTATTTTCTGCCAAGGCCCTGCCGCCGCCTGAACAAGTTTTTGTCTCTTCTCATTTAGATGAGAAAACATTGCTTCTTTTCAAAGGAGGTGATGATGAACAACCCACAGAAACTTCAGCCACTAAAGATAACCACGGGGGGAAAAACGTCTAGAGTGAAAACATTAACTAGAAATAGACCGTTTGGTTGCCATAGCCACCTGGACAGCTGTAATTTAGACAGGATGAGCTGCAATACACGTTCACTTCAAGGGAAAAGATTCATTTTGTTGTTTTCATCCTAAATGCACATTGTGCACTGTTTTACATGTGTAATTCTATTAAATATGACCTTTTAATAATAAAGTGCTACTTGTAAACTACTATCCATGTCTCTGATTACCAGCTGATCTATTAATTGAAAGACAAGGTGAAAACAAGGGTGTCCACAGAGCAGATATTAACATTTTGCAATATGCCAACAAACAAAATGCAGCTGTGCACAATAACCGTGAACGGTTTGTACATTCTTTGATCAACGCTAAATGTTTTGTGTCTCCGGTAAAGTCAGAATTACTACAAGTTTCTAAAGAGGAGCTCCATCATGGCAGCGTTTTACATAACAAGCGCTTATTAAGGAACTAATATAGAACATACCACATCAGTTAACGGGAGATAAAAATAGCAGCAAGTATGCTGCATGATGAGGAAGTCATTAGTTACAGGTACAGCCGAAACTTCAGAGTTAAGCAGGAAATAATCAGACATCTGCCACTCATTCTAACAGTGTGTTTTTAACTATTACATTAATGTCACTCATTTATTTCTACTATACAGGATTGTTTTGTGATTCTGAATTCTACTCAAGAGCTTTTTGTTAATTAAAAAGAGGCCGGTTTCTGACTTGTTGACTCACACACTGGTGGATTAAGTGCGTGAGACTGATGCACAGCCGTGATGGCAAGACAGGAAGACGTGGGAACACAGACAAGTGAAAGTGAGCTCTGTGGAGGGTTGCGGACTTTACTTTCGATAGCCTTTAAAAATAGGACTTCATGACAGCTACTGTGAGCAGCAGAGGCCTCACACACCGGAGGACCACTCACTGATCAGCGATGGGGAATCATTCAGGTTGAAACGTTTGCCAGATTAAAAGATACTGAAAAGAACGGATGTACTGTTATTGAGTGTTCCTCTTAATCAGTTTAAAGAGGTGATGGGTGGCTCTGGGCCAAAACACTATTTATGCATGTAAATCGAGCCGGAAGTGCCGATTAGAGGGCGGAAACTGTTGAGGAAAATATTAAAACTAGACGAACTAACGAGAAAGTGTGAATTATGGTAAGATAAGAGGAGTAATAAACTCTTGTGAGGAGGTTTGCAGCGACAACATGCGCTCATATTCCCCACGGTATTTATAACTCGGTCAGCTGACCTTGCACTTGGACCAAACCATCCTGCGGGGAGATTAACTGACACAGAAAACGACGAATTAACGGTTAAAATCACACATGTTGCACACTTTAAAGGTACAAAGGTGCTTTTAGGCGATCGTTTATTGAGCACCTGTGTGTTTTACTTCCTCAGGCCGCCGGGATGAGGCCGATGAGCGGCGGCCGACGGGGAGCGGCGACCCCCGCCTCGCGCCGGATGGTACGACCCGGTGTTGAAATTCCGAGAATTGAGCTGCTGTGTTTCTTAGAACTGGATTCTCAGAACTGGTGATGCTCAGAGTTTCGAGGAAACTTTTACAAGGTGACTTTTTTCCCTTCCTATTTTCTCAGCATTGGGTCAGAAGTGTTGTGAAGTAGCAGACGCTCCTGCGGCCGCCTCGGCTGCCGCGGAGCCGGACTTTTACCCCCCTGATAGTTTGAATATTTAGTGATTTCCGTTGACAGATTTGAAGTGTTCTGCTTGTTTGTTTTTTTTTGACAGCTGCGCTAAACTTTGACTGCACTTTAGCTGTGAGCGTGCTTCGAGGCCGGTTATTTATATTAATATTAACATTATTATGATTATGAAAAACAGCTCGAGTACTAAGTGCTGTTTTGCGGCGCTAGCTAACCCCTGTAGCCCGCTGTAGCTCGCTGCTAGCTTGTTTGAGTTTTATTTCGCTAACATTTGAGGAAACATTTGTTAGCTTGTTAGCCGGACCGGTCGGTCGGGTTGAGCCGCAGCCTGCTTCCTCTGCGCACTTTCTCAGCCTTTAAACTTTACTTAAACCGAGCTTTAAAATTAAAAACAAAAAACTTCCAACCCGTCATAAACCTGCGGACATGACAGCTCAGGAGTGTCTGGACTTGTGTCGGCCTGCTCTAAGAAAAAAAAAAAAAAAAAAAAAAAACTGAACTCACGCAGCAAAACAACAAAAAGTCGTTCCTTGAAATCACATCCTACGAAATCATGCCGGTGGAATATTTAAAGGCTTAGAAATAACTGTGGAGATTAGCTGGTCGGCGGGGGGAAGCAAATGTTAATGGGTTAAATGAGATGAGTTGCACTTATATCGGGGAACAGGAAACCTCTCTGTGTACTGGCAACCTAATCTGAGCAGCCAGGACGGAATGTGCTCAACGTCAAACACGCTTACAAAGTGCAGGCTGCCAGCACACACTGTCTGTCTGTCTGTCTGTCTGTCTGCCTGCCTGCCTGCCTGCCTGCCTGCTGCACACTAACCTGCAGCTAAACACTGACTTTACAGCCACAAAATCAGCATTTAGTCACTTTTTTAAAAATTCTGATTATGTTGCATGTGGTTTAAAAAAAAAAAGAAGAAGAAAAAAAAAGTTGTCACCTCAGAATCTGAACCAGCTTCCGGCTCTGTTTATATCTCACTCAACCAAATCTGCCAGCTTTAGATGAGAATGAATGTTAAAATGTGGATTATTATTATTATTCTACCGTGTAATAAGCCCGTTATTAAGGCGTGTTGGGTTGAACCTCCCTTTGACTTTTTCCTCTTTTGCAATGGCGCCACCTGTTGGCCACTTGTTTGGTTCAAAAGTTTTCAGGGAAAAAAAAGTGTGTTGTTTTATGTAGAGGAGTGAGTCAGGAGTTATGAAATAGAACAAGTTGTAATAACAAGTGTGTGTGTATAATATATCTGAACCATCACGTCACATTTAGTGGTAAACACATACTTTTTTGCTGCCCTATTGCTGTATTTTGCTCTTGTTTTATTGTACTTATTATTTATGAGGCTTCTTCTTTAAAAAAAAAACACAAAAAAATGGGACCTGAGTACTAATTTCGTACCACAAACACGTGAATGTGAGCCGGCACGACACATAAAGTTCCTTGAATATCGACTAGTTCACAGCTGTTAATAAAAAACATAATAAAATTAAATAACCTGCAATTCCATTTACATTTCTTGCATGATATATATGTTATATTTGTTGTCATTGGCTGCCAAAATTTCATTTATACAGCGTTATAATATTTTCCTACCACTGTTACTTCTTACTTTTCTATTCTAGTCTCATTTAGCTGATTTATTTTCATTTTCAGTAATTTATAACCTTTCTATTGCTGCATTTCTTGTCGTGTATGTCATTTTGTTACATAACTTTAAATAGATCAAACAATTATGTGTGTATTATGTTTTATTTGTGAAGTAGTTTCATGTATTGTACAGTCAATGTTTTACTAACTCGTACCGTATTGTATTTTTCACTCAACATTTATTTCTGCCCCGGCACAGACTGTGACAGCATGGCCACGACTGCAGATGGCTGCATTCAGTTCACACGCCATGCAGGCGACGTCCTGCTCAACTTCAACCGCCTCCGCAGCAGGAACATCCTGACCGACGTCACCATACAGGTGGACGGACAGCAGTTTCACGCTCACAAGGCCATCCTGGTGGCCTGCAGGTACGCACCGTTAGGACACGTGACTCGTTAGCTCAGCCTCATGCACCTAAGGACTTTACAGTAATTAATTCAGATGATAAATGATGCTGAAACAGCTGCACAGGATAGTGAGATTTCATACGACATAGACGATAACCATCAATCTCTCCTGCTTCTCTACAGTGGCTTCTTTTATTCTGTGTTCATGGATCCCGAGAACGCAAACCTTAGTGCCATCAGCTTAGACCCCAAAGTGGACCCCAAGGGTTTGTCCCTCCTTCTGGACTTCATGTACACGTCCTGCCTGAACCTTAACGACAGCCTGGTCTTGGCCACCCTGAACACAGCCATTTACCTCCAGATGGAACACGTGGCCGACACCTGCCACAGGTTCATCAAGTCCAGGTAAAGGGAAACAGAAAGTGTGAAAAGACTGATTTTGCAGTGACGGTACAAAGTGAAGGGGTCTGACTTGGAGTTGTGTGTGTTTACGCAGGCATCAGAGTCTGGATGTGCCGACTGAAGAGGTACCGAACAACTCGTTGCACCTGGCCGAGGACGTCTCCGCCTTCAGGCCCGTCGAAGACAAAGAGCCAGACCTGGGAAACAACCGCACATTGAACACATCCCCCAGACAGGAGTGCAGGGGCTACATCCCCAACGTCTTCAGGGGCATCAACACCTCCGGCTCCTACCACGTCTACGGTGACCTCCACGTCCCTGCTGGGAAGATCGAAGGTGCTCATAAGATCCGATGCTCGCAGGTACCCAGCCCCAGCATGGCTCACAGCGAGTCCATCTCCCACTCTGTCCCATCGTACCCCAGTTTCCCTCCCACCATCATCCGACCGGCGGTAGCCCACGGGAGCCTTCAGGGGCCCGCTGCCCCCATGGAGGAAGACAGCGTTCAGCACCCGCAAACCAGCTGCGTGAGACTTTCCCCTGGCTTCAGCAAAGGTGTCATCTGTAGCCCCCAAAGCCCCCTCAGATCTGACTGCCAGCCCAACTCGCCCACCGAGTCCAGCAGCAGCAGAAACGCAAGCATGAGCCTCAAACAGCCCTCAGAGTGCCCCAAAGACGCCAAGGCCCGCAACTGGAAGAAGTACAAGTTCATCGTCATGAACCAAACTCCCGATGAGAACGGAAAGGAGGCCCAGGGAGGCGGCTCTGATGTCGGATCCGCTTCTCCAACGCTGAGCCCCTGCAGGAGCGGAGCGGCAGGCGGACAGAGCGAGGTCCAGCCAGAAGAGGGCGCCAACGAGCACAGAGAAGACATGCCCTCATCTCAGAGCAGCGACAGCTGCAGCAGTATTAGGTAAACCACAACCGGCTGTCAGAACAAATAACAAACTACCAGTTGCTGTTCATTGGGTAAAGTTAAAAACCCGACTTCATAGTAACTCTGTGATCTTGTTCATGGGTGCAGCCACCACAGATGCTCCTCCTGCGGCTGTGACAGCCCCCGGTGCATGGAAATGGGTCATCTTTCTCCGGCCTCGTACAACAGAGACGACAGCACCAAGCTACACTCAGACTATTCCTCCTCCAGCTGTGGTGAGTGGACTCCACAGCGCCGGACTGTTGGCCCGTATAAAGCCACAGAGGTGCATTACGTTAACGTCGTTTCCTTTTTCTGCTTCTTTCTGCAGAAAACAACATTTATTTCTGCAACGGGTGTGACTCCAAGTTCACGGAAGAAGATTCCCTGAAAGACCACATGGTCCAGGTCCACAGCGACAAGCCATACAAGTGTGACTGCTGCCAGGCGGCGTTCCGCTACAAGGGCAACCTGGCCAGCCACAAGACTGTTCACACGGGTAAGACTCAGGAGTCCTGGTTGGCTTTTTAGTACTGTCAAGCAAGTCTTCTAGGATGTGTCTGATTTATTCGTCGCCTCTCTAACCGTCCAGGTGCGAAGCCATACCACTGCAACATCTGCGGTGCTCAGTTTAACCGACCAGCCAATCTGAAGACGCACACCCGAATCCACTCTGGAGAGAAGCCATACAAGTGCGAGACGTGCGGTTCCAGGTTTGTCCAGGTGAGAAGAGCAGAAATGTCTCGTCTTCAGCAGAACTTTCACTTCTCAAAGTGTCGCCTTCATGCAAATCGTGTGTTTCCTATCTCCCTCCAGGTGGCCCATCTTCGCGCCCACGTGTTAATACACACGGGAGAGAAACCGTACCCCTGTGAGATCTGCGGCACGCACTTCCGCCACCTTCAGACGCTCAAGAGTCACATGCGCATTCATACCGGGGAGAAGCCTTATCATGTAAGCTTCCTAGTCAGTGTCTGGCTGCTAAAAAGAGCGTAATCCCTTCACCGCGGTGATCCATACACCTATCAATAGTTATAATTCCTGAGTGCTAATCCGGGGCAGCTATGAGCTGCTGCTGGCAGAGCGGGTGGAAGTGATTCTAAATGATGTGTGTTTTCTTTTCTCAGTGTGAAAAATGTGACCTGCACTTCAGACACAAGAGTCAGCTGAGGCTCCATCTCCGGCAGAAGCACGGCGCCGTCACCAACACCAAGGCTCAGTACCGCAGGTCTCCCGGCAACATGATCACAGGCCTGCTGAGCTCCTGCTGAGTCGGCGGCACGCCTATCAGTTGTTGTTTGTTTGTTTGTTTTCCACGGGCCACCATGCTGTCAAAAGTTTGTGTTTATTTTCCTAAACGCAAACAGAAAACCTAAATATTCTCTATATTTGCCCTTTATGTATTTGTATGCACATTTCTTAACTCTTTGGTATTTCAAAGACTGTAGGAGTTTATTCTGCTCTCGTCGTGAATGTCTAACAACAGAATGTACATCTTGAATGTGAATCTGAGTCGGTATTTCTCTGTTTCGCCAATCGCTCGACAGAACGTGTGCGTCGAAGGACAGTCCTCCTTTTCACCCGAGGATCACTGTTACACTTTTGCTTCAGATGTTGGCGTGAGTTTGCCCGGTCACGTGGTCTTATGCAGTGTTATTTTTTCCATAAGACTGTTCCTGTAAATAAGATAATATATATTTTCAGATTGCCGTCTGCTGGCAGAATATATTGAGTACGTTTTTGTTTCTTACGAGCAGTCAGTCACACCGGGGCTTGTCGTTTCGCCGTGTCGTAGCTCGTGGTACAGGTTGTAAGAAATGGCTCCGTGTTGTACATATTTCCTTTCCCCAGTCGTTTCTAGGTTGGTTGTTTTGCACATACTCATGATGCTGTAATCCGTATATTTTCATACTTGTCATTCAAATATTTCTACTTAAAAAAACAATGTTCAGTTTGTTAAACCCCATTCCCAGCACTTGTTATATTCTTATTTATATTTTTTAATTTGCCGTATTCACTTACATTTGGTGCTGCGATGATCCAGTTTTCTCAACGGGATCATTAAACTCGTTTTTTTTTTGTTTTTTTTTTTAACCGTACGTATTATAGCGCACTCATACAAACTAGTGTAACGATAGTGCCTTACATTCACACTTTTCTATTGGCTACGTTCCCAGACTAACTATCGGTGCGTTTTACTTTTGACAACACGACAGCCGCGGTGGCTGTGAACTGCTTTTGTCCGGTACTCGGCCCCGTTGTCATGCATGTCCAGGTACTGTTGTTTTGGAAGCTTCTAATCTGTTGTGTGTAGCTCTTGAAATGCAGACGCACCAGGCCTCAAGCTAAAACACTCAGGAATAATAGTAATATGTCAGCAAATGTCTTTGTAACTGCAGATTATATATATATGAAATATATATATGAAAACATGAAAATAAAATGTATATTATGTAGCATGTATTGTGCCACTTGTGTTCATTCTTTTTGTTTTAAATGAGTCTCCTGAGCCTGTCAAGTATTATGTAGAGTTATGTAGAATATATAAATGCAGGTTTGTGTAAAGTTAAACCGTTCCTCTGGATAAAACAAACCTTGGAGGAGCTCAGATGGTTTCAACAGCTACACAATGAGGCTCTAAATCAGTGGTTCTCAAACTTTTTGAGCCAATTTTTAATATCTCATGAGTAATATGCTTATTGTTCATGCGTTAAAAATGAATGAGATTAATCTCTTTACATTAACACGTTAACTTTCTTTTGAATTAATTAACAAATTGGGTTTATTTCAAACAAATGAAAGGGGAAAATATATAAAAACAAAATAATTTTAAAAAGAGCATTTAAAAATATTGCATAATCAAATCATAATAAGTTCAAAAAAGCAGTGGGAAGAAGTTTTAATTGTGACAGCCCTAATACTAATGTATGTGGTAAATGTAGGCTTTATTTTATATTTATTTCTATAATGATCTGGCGATCCCCTGAAATGATCTTGGGACCCCCATGGGGGTCCTGACCCCCAGTTTGAGAACCACTGCTCTAAACCCTCCATTGGAAAAAAAAATGACTTGGAGACATAACAAAATGAAAAAAAAAAAAAAAGCATAAAAATGTGCTGAAGTACATAAATCTAAAGAATAAGTAAATGCTAAAACAAATACTACATTCTAAAAAAATTAACTGATATGTATAAATGTGATATATTGTTGTCTGGAAATGGATCTTCTGTCAGTGTTAATTTATTCATCCTTTGCTTAAGATGTTTTAGAAACTGCTTGGAGTTAAACCTCATAAAAAAAAAACGTGATGCCAGGCGCCCCCTGCTGGCGGAAGTGGGATGGAAACTACCAGAGGTTCTGTATATTCGTAAAACTTCATAAAATGATCAAAATATCGAAAAAGTACTGGACTAGAATTCTACACTCGTGGGGTAAAACTATTAAACACACACTCTGATGTAAAACAAAAGAAATAAAAGTGGTCGTTTTTCCTTTTTCAGCTTTATCGTCCTTCATACGAGCAGATACAGTACAGTTTAAGTGTTTCATGTTCATCCCCTTTGTTCCTACTATGACTAGTCCCACATGTCATAGCCATGATGAAGCACACTGAGGTTTTTTTAAATTTTAAATACTCATCTATCACAGAAACACACCTGATAACGTCTACATGGCACTAAAAGTCTCTGGTCATGCCCCTGTAGTGCTAAACATGAGACAGATGTTGTATTGGTTTTATTTGGCTGCTCGGTGGAGTCTAAACTAAATCCTCAGGTCAAACAACGATTTGGTCTGAAGCATGATGGCTGCTTCTCATGACAGAAGACATAAGTGATAAATACAGTTTGTTTTTTAGAGACTTCCAGTACTGTAAGTGTCTTCGACAAACAAGTGCCGACCATGCATCGCCTCGCAATGGCCTCCGACCGGGATGAACCGTGAGCTCTTCTGAACCAGAACTAGTCGATTACGAGCAGCTGCAGGGCATCTCCAGCTCTCATTCACGCCGGTACGCAGTGTACACGCACAAACACACCAACAGTGTAAGCAGATTACAAAAAAAAAAAAAGACAGAAATCAAAGGTAACCAAACGTAAAAAGTCATATGAATGGACATATAAACTCATAATAGTGTAATTGCAGTTGATAAAAAGGAAACTAAAAAGTAAATGAATGTTGCTGGCAGTCGGAGGAGCTCAGCCCTCTTTGTCTAGGATGGCTTTCACCTCCGCAAACACCTGCAAGAGAACGACAGGTTAGCTTGGTCACTGGTTCACCTCAATTCAACAAGTTAAACATGATTGTTGTCTTTAGTCATAAACAACACTTTTTCCCTCACAGGTGCAACAGAAATACTCAAAATGCAATTAAAAGACAGAGTAAAGCCAGCATGGAAGCTCCTTAAACCTGCATGTTTTCTAATGAACTCTGGGAGGAGGGGTGACCTGCATAAAGTCCTGCTCAACCAGTTCTAGACACAGATTAATCCAGTTTAAAGTCATCCATAGGCTGCATTATTCCAAAGTAAAGCTGCCCAAAACACTTGAAACAATTCCCACCCAGTGCGACAAGTGTGGCGCCGCAGAAGGTTCACTATCACACCTGGTCTGGCAGCGTTCAGGAAGTTCTGGTCGGACATATTTGACTGGTTCTCCCAACAGTACCAAACATCCATTCAGCCAGATGGCCTCTTAGCAATACTGGGCTGCTCTGACAAGACAAAATCTCTTCCACCCCATCAAAAACAAGCCCTCAGAGAAAGATTCCTATTGTTGAATTAGAAGGTGGCTTAATGAGATGCTTGTTTCTCATTCAGGACCTTCTGGACGAGGGGCTGTTTTTCTCTCAGCTTTAAACTCCACAACCCTCTTTGGCTGTTGTTTTTTTTTTTTACATATTCTGAAACTCCATCAGGTCCTTGTGTCCTTGTGCCTGTTTGTTTATATTGGAAAAAAATCTACATAAAATATTGAAACCTGCACGTTTTCTAGCAACCAGCAGGGGGCGACTCCTCTGGTTGTAAAACTACATCTGATTGCTATAAAAGTTTCTATTCGTGACATTCAGCCGGCGAGGCCATCTGCTCACCTCGTCCACGGAGCGAGAGGCGTCCACGGTGCGCACCTTGCCGTCCTTCTCGTACAGCTCGATGATTGGTCGCGTAGACTGCAGGTAGGTTTGGATTCTGCATTGAAGGAATGTGTGGCTGGTTATTGGGGTCAGATGACACAAGGGACTTAAAGGAGACATGAATTAGGTCAAAAACACACATGCAGGTATCCACCAGCCGGTTAAATGGGTCAGAGGACTCTCATCAGACGTGCTTGTTGTACTTTGGTATATAAATAAGTATGTATTGGTACGTTCTGACGTCCAGTATGTAGCCTGTGCTGGAGGACTGCACCTTTTCTCCAGGCTCTCTCTGTTGTCATCTGTGCGTCCGCTGCTCTTCCCTCTTTCTAGACATCTGTCGATGCAGACCTGTGGACAGAAGAGCTCGTTTCCTCAGCGTGACATATCTGCCGGGACATCGGCTCAGCACAGCGCGTGACTACAAACAGCTCCAGGGGAGTTTCCATGACGCACCTCATTGCCGCAGTCGAAGAAAAGCACAAACTTGACGTCTGCTTTGCCGTCCATGACGCTCTTCCACCCTTGAAGGTTGTCCTCGTTGCGAGGGAAACCGTCGATGAGGAAACGGAACTTCTTCTCATCCTGCTGCATCGTCTCCTCCATCGCCTGACGAGACACAAACCGGAAGGAAAGATTTTATGTTTTGCTGCTCAGAATGTGTTTAAAGGTGGTAGAAGTCTGCAAAAAAACTAAATCCGTGCAATAGATTGAACACACAGATTTTCAACACTGCTTCAGTGTAAATGCTGCCGATAAACTCTATAATTCGAATAAGAAAATGCATTTTTCTTTTCTTTTTTTTACTATGTTTACTCGATTGTTTGTCGATCACAAGTCTCCAGAGCCTCAAGTCATGTTTTTTCTTTTTAGTTTATGTCTGAATATCAGCACAAACATTTAATTCTATATTACATTAAAGGGGAGGAAACATGAAGTTTTCTTAATCAGAAGGATGGAAAAGTCTGGATTTAATGAATAAATGCCTTCAGCATTGGTTAGTGTGAGAGCCATATACAGTTAAAAATGTCTTGTGTTAAAAGCTAAGTGTAAAATCTAACATTAAAAATATAAATTTAAGATAAAGTTTAGCTGATAAAGCAATTTAAAAACGTTATTTCATTGAGTAAAGATAAGATCCTCGACTTATGTGACGTTGTTTTGTTGTATGAATGAGCTACAGGTGAGGGAGCGCACAGATGTTCTACCTGTGGACGTGAAATGTTCAGTTTTTGATGGAAATAAATAAACGGATGACTTCGTCTTGGTCCTCAGTGTGAGGAACCTCCTGTGGTTCAGTGCTGCTGTCTAGTAGCTGCCACAGTTAGATGATCACTGAATAACACCCTGTAGACTGATGAACCAGCTCCTAGCAAAACATATTAGCTTTGTGAAGTATTTGTGTTTTAAGAATTAAACATCATATTGAACTTTTATTCAAACAGAGCCTGTAAACTAAACCTTGTGATTGGCAGTAAAGGTTTTTTCATGGCCTGTGATTCTTGAAAATAACTTCAGACACTTGAATCAAGCATCTGACTCGTCTCAGACACAAACCAGATCTACAGCCTTCATTCATGACACACCTTCTTCAGTAAGTTGATGGTGATCTCCACCGGGACGATCTTGCCCTCTTTGATGTAGTTGGAGATGAGCTGTCCGAACTCGGAGCCGTCTCTAGCTCGCTCCGCCCTGAGCAGATCTCCAGCTGACAAGTGGGTGAAGTTGTAGCTCTAAGAAGGAAAAAAAACAAACACATTTTTAACATGCCGTGATGAAAACAGCATCTCAAAGAAAAGCACATCAAAACCAATCATCTAGAGGCAATTTTCTGTGACAAGTTTTTCAGGTTTGGAACTCCACAATGAGGAGGAGAGGCCGTCGCCGACAGACTGAGTCCTCGCCACTCACAGCAGGCCAGGAAAAAGTCGTGCACTGAATGAAAGGAGCCTCTATGCCGAGCTGCCGTTCAGGCCCAACCGCCGCACTCGAAGCGTGGAAGCCGACTCCCAGAAACATCCGAGAACAGAAGCAGTTATAAAGTCTCTCTTTAAGGAGCTACAGCAAACACACACACCAGAGAGTCCACGTCGGCCCCCAGTAGAGCTGCAGCTTCACGAACGTTCACCAGTTTGATAGTTAATACAGTTTTCAGACTTTCTGCACAGCTTTTAAAAATAACTTTTGTCCAGTGTGCAAATGAATTAGCTTCAGGGCAAGTTTGAGTCATCAGATGTCATCACTTTGGCTCAGTCGTGTTAGGGTTAGGGCCGACCTTGTTTAATGTGTTATTAGTGATGACAACACAGGAGACGAGGAGCTGCAGATGATCGATAGTTGCATCACTGGAAGTACAACATGAAGAAAAATCAACGGAAACATGTTCCAGCTTTGTTTTAACTACTAGATACCAACATGTTCTCATTTCCTACCACAAATCTAGAATCTAACATATTTAATGAGTTCTTTTCTAAACTTTATTTATGTTGACTCGCCGGCTACAAACATCCATCCATCATCTCTACACCTTAATCCTCACTAGGGTCATGGGGGGCTGGAGTCTATCCCAGCTGACTCAGGGTGAAGGCAGGTTCACCTGGACAGGTAACCAGTCTATCACAGGGC